AAGGTTAAATCGGAGTTGTTGTTTTTTGAGGTGGGTTTGCCTTTAAAGCTCTCCAACGGCACACAAGGACAATATATTTCAAGTTTTATTAAGCTAGGCGCCACTTTTTTGTCCCACTATGTAGGAAAAAAAAAGGTACGTCCAACGAAGTTTGGACTGATATACTTGAACTTATAACCCCTTTAGATGTATTCTTTTATCTTGAATCTAGCCGGCGGTTTAAAGCAAGTTCATGGAATCCCGTTGTATTTCTTGAAGGTTCTTTGACACATTAATTACTTTAAATATAAAAAAAAACTTAGACGGGAACCTTCCAATGATAGAAAGACAAACGAACATGTATTCTTAACTTCTTACGTGGTGACCTGTACGGTATAGTTACAAAAATTAATAAGTTTTATGTCTATTTTCACTCGTACTGTAGGTCGACTGTGAGAATAGAACTGCCCAGAAAGTGGCACAGTCCTATGGTAGGCGTCGTCGAGCAGCTTCCCAAGCAGATCTTAGTATATTTAACATTCAGGCTGGAGACGTGGTCAGTGACGTCACTATGGAAAGTACTTTATTCGTCGTGGGTAATCTAAATTCTTCGGGGAAAGAAGAAGAAACTAAACAGGTCCCTGAGACAAGAAAAGGTGAGGACATTCTTTTGCTAAGGAAAGACTTTGTCATACAATGATTTAACCTCCATGTATTATTACATAGATGGTTAAAAAAACCTTTTTTTATTGAATTTTCTGTTGAGAATCAAACGGTAGGGCTCTTAATTAATTGTATATAAAATGAAGTAGTTTTTTACACACAAAAATATGACCATCCACTGCCAACTCTTTACCAATGAACAGTGGAATTGACCGATACCTTGTAATGCTCCAATATCTAAACTGGTGAACATGGTCAGTGACGGGTTTCGATCCTGTGACTCTCAGATTACAGGTAGAGCGCCCTTGCCACACGGCCATGCCAGGCTCGTATAGCTAACAAGATTGAAATATTGAAGTAGGATCACGAATAATATGAGTAACTACAATATGTAGAAGTGGGATCATGAATAATATGAGTAACTACAACACGTAGAAGTGGGATCATGAATCATATGAGTAACTACAACATGTAGAAGTGGGATCATGAATAGTATGAGTAACTACAACACGTAGAAGTAGGATCATGAATCATATGAGTAACTACAACACGTAGAAGTGGGATCATGAATAATATGAGTAACTACAACATGTAAAAGTGGGATCATGAATAATATGAGTAACTACAATATGTAGAAGTGGGATCATGAATCATATGAGTAACTACAACATGTAAAAGTGGGATCACGAATAATATGAGTAACTACAACACGTAGAAGTGGGATCGTGAATCATATGAGTAACTACAACACGTAGAAGTGGAATCATGAATCATATGAGTAACTACAACATGTAGAAGTGGGATCATAAAGTGTAGTGACTAATGAAAGCGTGAGCAGAATGTACAGTGGATAATGATAATAGATATTGCAGGAAGAAGTGTGAGTAGAATGTACAGTGGATAATGATAATAGACATTGCAGGAAGAAGTGTGAGCAGAATGTACAGTGGATAATGATAATAGACATTGCAGGAAGTAGTGTGAGTAGAATGTACAGTGGATAATGATAATAGATATTGCAGGAAGAAGTGTGAGCAGAATGATAATAGACATTGCAGGAAGAAGTGTGAGCAGAATGGTGAAAGTACAATGTTGTTTGACAGTAATTGATAGGTTATCTAATAACTTGTATTTTCACCAACACCACATGGAGGAAGAAAGAACTTCAGGATTTTGACCCGTATCTTACACGTTACTTGCTATAAGCGACGCCCGGCAGCTTTTCGACAACCAGTAATTGCCGCTTTGGTTACTGATGCGAAACGGCGAATTTCACGACAAAAACAGCACCCATGGAATCTTCAGAATGTTTTAGAAAATACATTTTATGCTCCACAGCTTCTGGCTCATAAGTTCATACACTTACCCGGATGGACATATATGTTCTTTTTATTACAATTGAAACAATAAAAAACATTGTTTCCTGTGTAGACAGGTGATTGTTCGGGTAAAACACGATATCTTAAAAGTTTGATTAACTGAAAATGTGCATGCTACAGCCGGAATGCAATATTGTCGACTTTCATTAGAAAACAGATTAGCGACATTAGTTGAAACGTTTATTTTATGAATATTACCAAGCTTCATTATTTAACACTGAAATATTTGAATCATTTCTCTTTGAATGTGAACAGACTTCAATAGGAGAAAACAAGATACAGTTAAAGTGATTTTCTTTCAACCTCGGGAAACAAAAATTAAACATATTGTTACGTCTCCGTTTCTTAATTGATTTTCCGTAACTTCGTTCCGACGAAACTTTAGCGACACAAGTCCTTACTTAATAAAACTGGTTTATTCTTTCCGAATACAACTTTACGATACACTCAACTTCAACAATCACGCTAAAACAAACGCTATAACGAACGAACGTTAACTTCAACAATACCCTGTGACTGCAGATCAATTACTCATTACCTACACACACATTCTTTACGTCATGTTGTGACCATCTTACAT